CTAAATACAGCTAAATTGATAACAAGTATCTTGCTGTGTCTTTGGGACCTCCTGCTGCATGCTCATACAGCCACCTCTCCTCCTTCCCCTCCTCCTCCTCCTCCCCCTTCTCCTCCTCATGCCTCCTTCCCTTCTTACCAGCAGTAATAATGACTAATAATGACTGAAGTGCCAAAAACAACATGGCCTGTGTCATGCCAGCTCCCAGCCCAGTGGCTGTGTTAGGTATGCCCGCCATATCATGTTCCTCAACGTCCATCCACATGCCAGGTGGTAAGCTTGGGGAGGGCAAGGCATTGCTCGTTGCTATGGTTTCAATCATCCTCCAGATGTTCCTGTGATGTAAACTTGATCTCCAAATTCACAAGATGATGATATTCAAAGATGGAGCCTTTGGGAGGTTGTTAGGGTTAGATGAGGCCATAAGGGTGGGGTACCTATCATGGTGTTAGTAGCCTCATTAGAAAGAGGAGCTTGCCCATTAGTTAGATGCCAAATACATGTCCAACTGCTCTTGCACTTTGTAGACTCCAAAACCATAAAGAAAGTAAAATGCTATTCCTTATAAATTTCCAGGCATTGGGTATTCCATTATAGCATCAGAAAATAGACTGTAACTAATCAATGTGCTCTCAGACATTAGCACAGTGCCCCCCACACAGGATGACATACAGACAGAGTGAGAAGATTGACCTGCAGTGCAAGTGTCACCCGAACCTTAGCACGGACCAAAGCCAGGGCTCTCCCCATCCCTCCAAATCCTCGGCTTTGTGCCAATATCAAAAATGACCAAGCCCATTTACACATTTACATCACCCACTGTAGTATTTCTGAAGGTGTCCTGTTTGTCTTTAATGCTCACAGAGACAGTGCACAGCACAGTACACTGTGCACCTCAGCAAAAAAGGCTGGCCCTGTGAAACCAAGGACAGAAAGAATGCTGGATGTGAGGAAGAGGGACTTGTACTGAAGTCCAGAAGGTGGCCCATGAGCAAAAGCAGGACAGAGCAAGAGGCCCTCAAAGACCTAAACATCACAGCCCCACTCTGACACTCTCACAAAGGGATGCTGGACAGAGATAACAAGGAAACAGGCTTGTGTCCAGGTTTTGCTTCTCACTGGCCATCACTCTGAATCCATCAATTCTCTACCTTCCCACCTACCTAAAATCACCAGAAAAGTACCAGCTGAGGGCCCACTGGGAGTCACTGCAGTCCCCAGCACTGAGGTTAGAGGTCAGCACACCTATGTCCCTAGTGTAGTGGGAGGGGGCAATCAGTACCACATGCAAACGTACACACCCATGTCTGTATGTAAACCATTGCCAAAATCACATGTCAAGTAACCATGTGCTTATTTCATTTATGTAAGTTACAAACAAGTTTTCAAACATAATCAGAAAACAAGCCATAAAAAATAAGATGTTAGAGGAGAACTAAAGTTACATAAGTGTTATCTTTGCTCACTTTCCTTCAGAACATGGACCTCCCACATAGTTAGTAAAGTCACATCTCTGTTCCAGGCTCCTGGGAGACTGGGACCCACACCACAGGTCTCAGTGTGCTCCCTCCAGGTCAAACATGCCCAGCAGGGAAGCTTACTGGTCTACCAGAAGCTACAGCCTATTGAAGCTGTCACCTACTGATCTACCAAGAATTACTAAGATGCTAATCCTGGCATGTTTTTGTTCCTTTAGTTTTTTGGTTGGTTGTTGTTGTTCTGCTTTGTCTTGTTTTGTTAACATTTCTGGCTGACAATGCTTATTCAAAGTTTATGCCTTTCTGGAGTTTTACTTTGTTCCATCAAAGCTCAGCTTCATTTCTTTGGAAAACCCAAGTATAATATCAAGGCAAGCTCATGAAACTCAGCAGCAAGTAGTTCAACAAGAACCCTGCAAAACACCATTGAAGAAATGCTAAATCCTAGCCCAGGAATATTTAGAGACACATTGTAGTGATCACCCTAAGGCATAGCTCTGTAAGCTCAGTGCTGCAGCTATACCATAGAAAACCTACCTTAAGCATTTGCCCTAATGGGTTTGCAAAGCCCAGGTGAGCTGTCTAGCGTGGAAAACAGAAGTCACCTAAAATGGAGCCCAAGAAGGAATCCAGGCGAGGTTAAATCTAGCAAAGGAATCAGATATTACAAACTCGGAACCAGGCAGCATGGTGTATGCCTGGAATCCCAGCACTCTGCAAAGCTGAGAAGACCATGCTGCAAACCCAGAGCGGGAAATTTAGCAATTTAGCAAGACCCTCTTTCCAAAAAAAGGTTGGAGTTTGCCCTGGATGCAATCTCTGGTGAGAAGAAGAAAGAAGAAGAAGGAGAAGAAGAAGGAGAAGAAGAAGAAGAAGAAGAAGAAGAAGAAGAAGAAGAAGAAGAAGAAGAAGAAGAAGAAGAAGAAGAAGGCTACTTGAAAGATCAGCAGCATAGATTTTATGTTTGTTTTATTAAGACTTTTCATTTTTGTTTCTTTGTCTTTAAAGAGAATGATCAGTAGGCTCAGAAGAAAGTGAAATGCCTTACTAAGATGAGGCACCTTTAAAAGACCCTCCGTAGTTAACCAACCTTATAGTTTGGAGATGTATTTATTTCCCTACAGGAAAAAGGTATCGGTAACTGGTCACCATGTCAACTAGCAAGTACAAAACATGGGTGAGGTGCCATATTATGCCCCTGGCCTTTGCTAATGACACTTACTACTATCAAGCAGTATTTCTGAGAAGATAAGGGGGTTGGTTTGGTTTGGTTTGGTTTGGTTTGGTTTGGTTCAGTTCGGTTTTTTACTTTGCCTAACACTCTTACCCCTAGAGAATGGAGGTCATTAGGTACCTAGAGGAACAGCACAGTGGAATGGGCAGGGAACTTCTGTCCAGAATCAGTGGAAGCTCTTGTGAGTCATGCAGAAGCACCAGCTCTTCCACGGTGCTTACTCAGCCAGGCACCACTCTTGGGGCTTCATATAACCTATTCTTGAGTTCTCCCCCGAAGCTTAAGGCCAGGTACTGTGAGTGCACCAGGTTAATCATTAAGACTACAAAGGTACAGAAAGGTTAAATAACTTACCCAAGGTCACACAGCAAGAAAGTACAGAGCCAGGATTTGATTCCAGACCTACTGGCTCTAACATCTATATTCTGGATCAACGCATTACACTGCAACCAGCCAACTACCCAGTCTTTGGCTGCAGTGCAGCCCACCCTAGAGACATAATGATGAACTTGTAAGAGACAAAGCATACAGAAGCCCCTCAGGACGGATGAAGTCCACACTTAATTGTAGACATGTGATAGATAACCAGGCAAGAGCAGGAATGGGGCAAGGAGGATGGTGCAGAGCTTACAAAATTTCCAAGCAGAAAGGAATGCAGTTCCATGTTTCCCTTAAACAGAAAGCACTTTGCTATGGCTGGCATGGCAGTACCATGGTGACGTAGAGCCGGGACCCCAACAATGCCAAGAAAAGGCCAGAGTGATAGGAGACAGGAATAACTAAGCCAAAGGCTGTGGCTGGCTCCAAAATGTGGGTTTACCTGCAAATGAAGTAACCAACTGAAGAACTGTTCATTAAGAAACAAAATGGCCAGGTCTTTTTCCTGCCTCCCTAGTTGTTTCCAAGAAACTTGGTGGAACAGGACCCAGCATCTCCGTGCAGGAGGCAGGGCTTCTGGTGAGGAAGCTGTTACTGCTGTCATACAAAGTCCTTCACACAAATCATGAAGCCATTGGACCACAGCAATGGGACATTTCTTCAACCAACCAGATCTGGAGCCGCCCGGCAGCAGGTACTCCAATTCCTTCCAGGATCTCTAAGAGGGCTGTACCCTCAGGAGACATCCCAAAGGTCACTGTGCACTGTCGCAGGGTCTCCAAAATGCTAGGAACAGCCACTCTCTCACTAATGAAGAAACACCCACCTCTCCCCCCACCCAGCCCTGGTCACTCAGACAGTTCTTAAAATTCTAAAGGTAATTACTTTAGAAGCTTTTTTTCTTTTTTTACAACTTACTAGGATTTGTCTACATCTCAGCCCAGGAGATTTAGGTCATAACTGGCTTCTATAAACCAGAAAGGATTTGGGAAGGATTACGATTTAATGTGCAATGCACATTCTTGACCTTATTATCCCCGACCCCTTGGCTTTAGGCACAGGTCTTCAGAAAGGGCTTGCTTTCTGTTTGTTCTTTCTTTCTTTTTTCCTTCCTTCTTTTTTTCCTTCCTTCCTTCTTTCTTTCTTTCTTTCTTTCACAAAGCTTTCGGTATGAGAGGCTGCTGGGATTTGGTCACCTATTTTTGATGCTTTGTAAAAAGGTCTACGCAAACTGAAAACATCCAGGTCTCTCCAGAGTGGGGCACAAGTTGAAATCACTGCTCCCTTCTCAACAGAAGTGAGGATAAGTACACTGTCACACAGACACCTGATGTTTGAGTCACCAGCATCCGGCACTGCTCCAACGAAAAGGTTAAAAAAAAAAAAAAGCATTCAACAAAAAATGATCGCGTTTCAATCAACAAGCTTCCACTTTCCTCTCAAACGCGCATCACCTGCTCTAAAACCGGAATGCCTTTCGGGAACTGATATGCTGGCGGGCTCTGAGTCTCAGGATAGTTTTCACACTGAAACTACCTGTTCGCATTTTCTTTTTCTCATCAAGAATTAACGCTTCCTTTGGTAAAACTCCTTTGAACACCAATTGGGTGCGTCGGTTTGTTTTGTTTTGTTTTGTTTCCACTTAGTTCATTCTTTATCCACTTGTACACCCGAGGGGCCCAGTTAGGATTTTCAGGACAAAGGACAGTGGAACGCGGGTCCCACACCCTCACCCCAATCTCCTGCATTCCACACCGTCAGGCGTTCCCCCAAATGCTCCAAAGCTCTTGAAACCCTGTCCACCCTCCAGCAGGTAGAAGCACCTGGGGACAGTCAGTGCGGGCGTGGGTGGGGGCGGAGAAGGCTCAGGATGGAAGGGTGTCCTGAGACCCGGGAGCGGTGACCTTTACCTTGACGAAGAGGGTGATGTCGTGCTCCTGTCCCGGGTCCCCTTCCTGAGCCGCCTCGCTGTCCTCCTCGCGGCCGTTCACTGGCGTGGAAGGCGCAGCTTCGTCCGCAGCCTCGTCGGCGCCCTGGGCGCTGCCCTCCTCCGCCAGGTGGTTGCTGAGCTGGGGCTCGGGGTCCTCGTCCCCAGGGGACCCGGCCGCCTCCCCATCTCTGCTGCCGTCGGGGGGCTGCTCTTCGCCCCCCAGAGCAGCTTCCTGGCTGGGTCTCTCGGGGCTCCGCTCTCCCTTCCCTTCTTCCTCCTCCCCCGTCCCGCCGCCAGTCCCCTCCCGGAGCTCTCCTGGGTCACCGTTCGCACCAGCATCTTGTGCCCTCGCGTCCCTCGGGACCACATCCTGCGACCCTTCTGCCCCCGGAGACCCAGTCTCCAAGGCTGCGGCCGCCGCGTCCCGCCCCGCACCCTCCCTGCGCTCCTCCGGGCCGGGCTCCGCGCTCTCCTGGGGCCGGGGCTGGGGGTCACCTTCCCCTGCGTCCTGCGGCTCATCCTCCGCTCCAGGTGCCCCTCCCGCGTCCATGCCTTCCCCTACCGGGCCCTGCGCGTCTACGCTGAACCCCGGTGGCTTCTCCAGCCCGCACTCTGCTTCCTCGTGCGCCGCCGGAGCCGCGGCGTCCCCGGGGCCACTCTGAGCCTCCCCTGAGCCCTCTTCCACCTGCTGGGCGCCGCCCGCCTCCTCCCCAGCCGGGGGCTCCTCGGTGCCGTCCTGGGTCCCCTCCCCGGTCTCTTCCTCGGCCTCAGCCGAGTCCTGCACCCCGCCGTGGCCCTGCGCCTCTGCCCCCGGGTCCCCTCCCTCGCTCGCGCGCCCCGCGTCGCCCTCCTCCTCTTCCAGCGCGCGCGTCCCCTCGCCGCTGGGCACCGCTGCGGTGCCCTCGCCGGCCTCCGGTCCCTCTGCTTCGGATCCCGCAGCCGGAACCGCTGGGTCCTCAGACGGCCCCTGGGAGCCCGGAGCGCCCCCCTCGGGCTCGGCAGCCTCAGCCATGGCTCTAGATCCCCTTCCCTGACCGGAGCCTCTTCCTTGACCAGGCTCAATGGCTCAGGGGCGAGGGGCGAGGTGCGGGGGTCGCTGTGTCTCCCCCTGGAGGACGCCCCACTCCGGGCTCTGGCGAAGAGCTTTGGCGCAGAGCGAAATCGCTCAGCCCAGACTTAAGGTATTTGGGTTCCTCCTCCCTCTCTCCTGCTTCTTCGCCCACTGCCTGGAGGTGCAGAGCCAGGCTGGACAGGCTGCGGTCCTCTGCTCCCTTTGAAGTGTCCGGCCACTAGCTGTAATCTAGAGGGCCAACTCTGTGCCCTGGGGCTTGGGCGGGGTTTGTTCCCCCTCCTTGCCCAGTGTTTGGGTGGCCTGGGAGCCTGGCCAATGGTAGCCTTTCTGTGGCTCTTGCGGATTTTCATAAAAAGAGTCTGGTTCCACTGGCTGTTTGGGCGTTTGGAACAGCTTCAAATTTCAGAGTCATTTACACACCATCAGGCACTCAAGTACCTAATTCCCACCTTATCCCGAAAGTGAAACATTAAACTCCACACCCGACTACACATGTTTAGTGAGCCTCGTGACCAATCGCAGGGTATAAATCCTTGGAGCGGGGAGGTGAGACCTGTGGCCTCCTGTTTCTCCAGGACCCTCCTGACACGTTTCAGAGGTCCCGGTGTAGAAGCAAAAAGGAGCCAAACGGGATTTTCTGATCACACAAGGGCACTGTCACGCTTGACGGCCAGCCTCTCCAGGCGTGACGAGCAGCCGGAGTCCCGCACTGGGAGAAGGTGATAGCCTTCACCTCCCTGCTCCTTAGAAATGCTAAGAGCTGCTTATCATGTAGACTCGCCTAGATTTTCTAAACTCTTAGCCAGTACTGTGGTCTTGATGTTGTTAAGGCACTGAGGAGCCGAAAGTAGGGGAAGAAATTCCAAGATGTAAGTCACACCCATGCACACACACAAAGAAATGAAAAAGAAAACCATAGACCAACATCCCTGATGAACCCGGAGACGGCAGTTCTCAGTATAACCCACGTCGAATTTAACAACAAATCAGAAACATTCAAGCTAGTTTCATTACAGGGATGCAAGAACAAATCAATACATGGAATACCCTACATCAACAGAATGAAAGATTTAAGATGCATGTTCTTCTTAATAAATGCAGGAAAAAAAGTCTAAAATTTGACATCGTTCATGGTAAAAGTCATGAACAAATTAGGGAGAGAAAGATCATATGGCAAAGTAATAAAGGTTACTTAGGACAACATCATATTGCATGGGAAAAAGCTGAAAAGCATTTCCTCTAAAATCAGGAATAATACAAGGATGTCCATTCTTGCCTCTCATTCAGTATAATACTAGAAGTTTCAGCTGAAGCAAATAGACTGAAAGAAATAAATAAAAAGGCATACAAATAGGAAGGGAGAAACTCCAATAATCTATGTTTGATAATGATATTCTATATATAAGAAAAACCAAAGAGTTCATCAACGGACTATTGAAACTGATAAATTTGGTAAGGTAGCAAAATTCAAAACAACATAAGAAACTTAGTAGATCTTCTGTAGACCATTAAAAATTTACTGCACAAGTCACAAAAGCAACACCATTCACAATTGCAAAAAATAAACTACTTAACAACAAGCTTTTCCACAGAAGTAAAAGACTTCAACAGTGAACATTATACCACAGAGGTGAAGGAAAGTAAGGAAGACACTAGAACACAGAAACACTTCTCATGTGCATGATCAGAGGAACTGACGTTAAAATGTCCAAATACCCACAGCAATCTGCAGTTGGTGCAATGCCTGTTAAAATACCATGACATTCTTCAAAGAACTAGAAAACACAACCTAAAAATTATGGAAGAAAAAAAGTATAAACAACTAAAGTAACTTTAGCAAAAAGAACAAAGCTGGAAACATCACAATTTCTGATTTTAAGACATCAGTGGAACCAAAAATAACCAAAAGAGCATGTACAGTATTAGCATGAAAGCATACACATAGACCAATACATGAGAGTAAAGATCCCAGAAACAAGTCCATGCACCTACATGTTCTTTAAAAAGCCACCAAAAACATACACTGGAGAAAGGACAATTTCTTCAATAAGTCATGCTGGTAAACTGGATGTCCATGTGCAGAAGATTGAAACATGACCCTATCCCTCACCCTGTACAAAATTCAACCTTAAAAAAGTGAATGAGACACCTGAATGGAAAATCTAAAACTATTGGGAAACATTTCAAAATACTGGTATATCTTGAGATAGTGTGTCCTAAAGGATAGGATTTTGCTAACACAAGAAACAAAAGCCACTATTAACCGATGAGATTAAGTCCAATTATAAAGCTTCTGCACATCAAAAGGATGAAGACACAACATACAGAATGCCAAAGTTAATATCCAGGATGTATGAAGAACTCAAAACCCAGCAGAACAACCAAGTAATCCAATTAAAAATAGGCAAATACACTGAATAATTTTCAAAAGAGGAAATACAAGTGGCTAACAAATATCTGGGGAAAAAAGTGCCCAGTATCACTAGCCATTGGGGAAACACACACCAAAATCACAGTGACACACATCTCACCCCAGGTAGAATGGCTACTAAAAAAACATACCGACAAGGATGCTAAAAAATAAAGGACTCTTCTGCACTATTGATAAAAAGGTACATTAATATGGCCATTACAGAGAACACAGTGGAGTTACTAAGAAAACTAAACAGAGAGCTATTATACCGATCCAGCGATCCTACTGCTAGATACATAACCAAACCAGATGAAATCAGCATACTAGAGAGATCCTTGCACAGCCATGTTTATTGCAACGCTAGTCACAATTTCCAATATGTAATCAGCCTAGATGCCCATTGTGGTGGTTTGACAGCTGGTGGTCAACAGAGCTGAATTGAGAGTGTAGATGGCACATCTGAGGATTGTTGCCAACATAAAAAGGAGAACTGGAGAGGAAAAAAATGTTAGTTCTCCATGGCGTTGTTGGTTCTCTGTGGTGTTAGTTTTTCTGTTGCCATTGGTTCTCCCAGAGGAGCTTGTCAAGCTTGTTTTCTTGATATGAACTTGGCTATTATCATCAGAGGAACTCAGAACCCTGTTGCTACTAAGAATGGCTGCAGTCCACTTCGGAGTAGTTCTGGTCTTTATTATTTCCAGGCTCCAGAGGGTAACATGGTGTGCCGTAGAGGCTTCAGGAGAAGCTTGTCATGCTGGCTTCCTAATATGAACTGGGCTGTTTTCATCATTGGAGAAGCTCAGGACTCATTGTCACTGAAGATGGCTATGGTATTTTTCAAGGGAGCCCTGGTCCTTACTTTGAGCACAGTACAGAACCCTCAGCCTGCTGGCACAGATCCTTCATCCTGCTGGAACAGAATTTCTGGCTTCTGCCGCCGACCTTTGGGCCTTCCCAGCACAGATCCAAGAAACAGACTGGTTTGAGATATTGTCATGGTCTCCAAGCATCCAGCTGGACTCATGGGAGGCACTGTCATGGGCTCTAGGCCTCCAGCTGGACTCATGCAGAACATTGACATAGGATCCAAGCCTTCAGTTGAATTCTTTGGGTATTAGCATGTGAACAGATTCCCTGCACTCTTTCTTTTGTATTTGACTCTTTAGGTGACCATTATAAAACAATAAATTATGTGTCCTGTATTGTCTTGTTCTCCTTGCAAACCCTGAATACAACACCCATCAACAGGTAAATGAATAAAAATAGTACACACACACACACATACATATGTACTATTTAGACATACTTTGTTATTTGCAGCAAAACAGATGCAACTAGAGAATATTACATGAAGTGAAGTGGGCCAGACCAGGAAAACTCTTGCTATGTATTCTCTCCTTGATGTGGAAGTCCCCCTTCCCCCAAAATGTAGACCTGATAGTAGAGCAGTGAGCAGCAGAGCATCCGGGAAGGACAGTACAATGGAGAAGGGTAGGTGGATTTGATCGGTGCACATTGTAAACACATATGGAAGTCTCACACTGAATCTCATTAATACATAATATGCATTGATAAGTGTGTAGAAGGGAAGTTGTAAAGCAAATTGTGCGGCAAGCCTACTGTGATTCAGACTAGAACTTGTGAATCGTGGTAAGGAACAAGATTACCCAACAGGGCACCTTCTAAATGTGATGTGCAATGGGTAGCCCAGGTCTCTCAAGAATGATTTGACTTGTGAGGCTTTAATGGCTCTGTGCTGCCCTGGGATATTTCAGCTCATCATATGCACGAAGGGCTCTGTTTTTTAGAGTTGGAAACATCTTGGATGTGGCTCTGGGTGACACCCTGGCCCATTCACCAGGATGTTTCCTTCTAATTCCTGTTCCTCATCACTGCTGTATGGCAGGTGCTGTGGTTTTGTGTCCCCTTTAAAGTCCATGTGTTGGAAACTTAAACTTCAACTGTGTGTGCTGATGGCATTTGGAGATGGGGATCTTTAAAAGGGGTTTAAAAGGGACTTTAATAGGGGCTGCATGAGGTCATGTGAGTAGGTCCCCATGATTGCATTAGTAGCTTTAAAGGAGACAGAAGGAGACCTCAGCACCCTCTTCACCCAGCTCCCCATGTCAGTCTGGCACCTTTCTCCATGGGATGAGGATGCCCACACCTTGATAATGGCTTCCCAGCCCTCACAACTGTGAGAATTTCATCTCTTTTGTTTAATTATACAGCCTGTGATTATCAGAGCAGCACAAAAAGGACTAAGGGAACAAGACAGAATCCCAGAGATCCCCAGCTTCAAGTCACCTTCCTCCAAGATGTGCTCTCCCTGGAAGGAAGAGGTCATGAGAGATGTCACAAAGTGGCAACTACGCAAAGCGTATCACCTACACCGGTGAGCTAGACAGACACAGCCCCTGCCGCAGAAGATCCAGGTTCCTAGACAACAAACCTTGCTGCATTCACCAGGGCAAGAAAGCAGTGTCACCATCATCTCTTTTTATTAGCTCTTGTTTGCAGTATACAATGATTGCATTTATTGTGGGAAGTGGGTATGTATACATAACACATCTGAATTCTTTTTTTAAAATCCCGTATTGCTCCCTCTCTGCTTTTTTCAACTCGGACCCTTGAAAAAGCTATTTTTTCAATATTTTGCCCTTTAGCTCTCTTTTTTCCAACCCCTTTGCCTCTCCTCCCCTCCCTGTCTGCATCTATCATTCCCCCACACATTTGAAAAAGATTTGCCTACTTCCTATTTATGTCTTCTTACTATATATAAAAAAATATATAAATTTACTATATAAAATATATAACTTACT